CATATACAGTGAAGGCTCGGGTTGTGAACATAATCTGTGTGGGATGCACATTCGCAACCTACAGCGTTTGCAACCTGCAGTGGCGCGTCTGCGCATGCGCAGCTTGCGATGCGGCACTTCTGCGCATGCGCAACCACCGAAACCCAGAAGTAACCCGTTCCAGTACTTCTGGGTTTCAGCAGGTCCGTAACCTGAAAAAAACACAACCTGAAGCATCTGTAACCAGAGGTATGACTGTATAGTATTTTATCAGTGGTGGTTGGTGCCCTTGAGGACTGGTAGGGCGTAAGGCAGGGAGGCCAGCAGTAGGTGGAGCCAGAGATCCAATGGCAGGCAGAGCCAAGTCATTCTGGTTTTGTCTTCCTCCTCCTCCTCCTCCTCCTCCTCCTCCTCAAAGACAGCACTGAGACTGAGCAGGAGGCACACCAACACCCAGGGCGGGTTACACATAAGATGGGAGGCAGGTGGGCCAGGCAGATTGAGGTTGGTGGAGCAGCGCCCCGTCTGCCTGAATGGAAGTGCTCCCCGTCGTTTATTGCAGTGTTTCCCAACCGGTGTTCCGCGGCACACTAGTGTGCCGCGAGACGTTGCCTGGTGTGCCGTGGGAGGGAGGCGGCGAGGCGGGCGGCGAGAGGCGGAGCGGCGGCGGCGAGGATCCGCGTCGAGCCGGGGGCGGCTCCGCGGTGGTGGTGCCGAGGTTTCTCTCTCCATTCTCCCCTCACACACACACACAGGAAATAACACAGGATCAGCTGACAGGACCCGGCCAATGGGGCGGCGGCGGGGCAGCGCGCGCAAAAGGGAGGAGCGCGAGACAGCGGACGAGGAGGAGGCCGGCATGTCCGGGCAGCAGCAGCAACAACAGCAGCAGCAACTCCCGGCGACGGCTCCTCAAGCCCCGGGCAACCCCTACTCCCTCACCGGCCTCGGCCGCCCTCCTGCTCCACCCGCCGCCGCCTCCCCCGCCACCGCCGGCCACCTCGGCCCCGCCGTCACCCCCTCCTCCGCCCGCTATCGCCGCCACCACCACAACAGCCGCCGCCGCCTCAGCTGGGCCCATGCCTGCCGGGAGCAGCGGCGGCAGCAGCAGCAGCAGCGCCCCGGCGCCCTTCCCTCCCGGCGTGACGCTGCACGCTGACGTCACGGGGCTGTAATGGTGATGTGCCTCGAGATTTTTTTCATCAAACAAGTGTGCCTTTGCCCAAAAAAGGTTGGGAAACACTGGTTTATTGGAATGACTCAGAAAGGAGCCAGCATAGCCCACAGTAGGGAGTTGCAGCCCAACAGCATGTAGAAGGCCGCAGGTTCTCCATCAGAGCCCAGATCCTGTGTAGGGATTGGGAAGCCCAGCCTTTCCCTTGCAGGAGGCGCCACTGGGCCCCCTAGGCTGGTGAGTGCAGCTGATGCAGGGAGAGAGAGCAGAAGATAGCCAAGCATCACTCTGTCCTCACTGATCGATTCTTCCCCCTTGCAGACTTTTGGGCAGCGCCTGTACCAGGAGTACACCTGCTACACCGTCTTCTTCATCAGCATTGAGATGTGCCAGATCGCCGACGTGCTCATCCGCAAAACGCGACGCCTTTCTGTCTTCCAGCAGGGATTCTTCCGGTATGTGGGAGCCGAACGAATCTCCAAGCCAAACATGGTTCTGTGCTATACAATATGCTGCATTTTCCATTCTTGTAACACAAGTTATTGTGATAGAAGCACCCTGCCCCCATCTCCCCTCAATCATGCTACCTACTTCGCTGAAACCAAGCCATATTCGCCACCCAACCTGAAACACACCCTTCCCTTTTCAGAAACAAAGTCTTGGTGATAGCCATCGTGTTCCAGCTCTGCCTGGGCTGCTTCCTCTGCTACTGCCCTGGGATGCCCAACATCTTCAACTTTATGCCTATAAGGTAAGACCTCACATGCCTCTATAGGGCAGATTTAGCCCTCCACTCCACTCCAAAAAAAAAACCAGTGGAGGATACTCTGTAGAAGAGAGTAGGGCAGCTGGATCTAATAAAGCTAGTGGCCTTCTTTGAACTGATGGCAATCATTGGAGGGCCATCCAGATGTTGTTGGTCAGCATCACCCATGACCATTTTGCTATGCCAACTGGAGATGTCCGGCAGCATACGAATGGCACCTCCAGATAGATGGAGCAAGGTAGCCTGACTTGGTATGACTTAGGACATCACCTTGTACAGAGTTGTGATGCCACCACTTAACTCACCCGTCCAGCTCACCTTCCTAATTCTCCATGCTAGCCTGAAAGCTGGAAAGCAGATGAGCACAGCCACTGTATACAGTAGATAGGGCTCTCTTTCACCCAGCACCATGGACAGCAGCCCAGCAGCTTTGTTCTGTTAGTGGAAGCATCTCCTAGGCCAGCAAAGGGCAAATTGAGATCTACAGTGGTGCCTCGCAAGACAAAATTAATTCGTTCCGCAAGTTTTTTCTTCTTGCGAGTTTTTCGTCTTGCAAAGCACGGTTTCCCATAGGAATGCATTGAAAATCAATTAATGCGTTCCTATGGAAACCGACTTCAGACCAGGTCCCGGGACAGTCTGTCCCCCGACCCCCCGGGAAGGCAGGCAGGGGGGAGCAAAGCCTTTCGCCCCCCGCCCGCCTTCAGAAGAGGTCCTGGACCTCTTCTGAAGGCGGGCGGGGGGCGAAAGTCTTTGCTCCCCCCGCCTGCCTTCAAAAGCCCTCCGAGACAGCGGAGAAACGCGCCGCCCGGGGCGATTTTAAACCCGCTGTCCCAGGGTTTTTAAAAAACCTCTCCGCCCCCCCTCCCCGCCAGGCTTCGGAGCAGCCTTCCGAAGCCGGGCGGCGGGAGGAGGTGTTCCCCCCCCGCCGCCGCACAGCTTCGGAGCATCCTTCCGAAGCCGGGCGGCGGGAGGCGGTGTCCCCCCCCCTGCCGCACGGCTTCGGAGCATCCTTCCGAAGCCGGGCGGCGGGAGGCGGTGTCCCCGCCCCGCCGCCCGGCTTCGGAGAATCCTTCCGAAGCCAGGCGGCGGGAGGAGGTGTCCCCCCCCCCCGCCGCCCAGCTTCGGAGCATCCTTCCGAAGCCGGGCGGCGGGAGGAGGTGTTGTCCCCACCCCACCGCCCGGCTTCGGAGCATCCTTCCAAAGCCGGGCGGCGGGAGGCGGTGTCCCCGCCCCACCGCCCGGCTTCGGAGCATCCTTCCAAAGCCGGGCAGCGGGAGGAGGTGTTCCCCCCCCCCCGCCGCCCGGCTTCGGAGGAGGTCCGAGGACAGTGGGGAAGACGCGCTGCGCTTCCCCGCTGTCCCGGAGATTTCCCTATGGGCTTTCGTCTTGCGAAGGAAGGCCATAGGGAAATTCGTTTTGCGAAGCGCCTCCAAAACGGAAAACCCTTTCGTCTAGCGGGTTTTCCGTCTTGCGAGGCGTTCATCTTGCGGGGCACCACTGTACTGGTAAATCTCTGGTTAATTTTTAGATTAAAAAGGGATTTCACTCTGCTTTTATTTTGCAACAGTTACCCTTTTCCCAAGGTTATTTGCATATTTACGGTATCCTTGAGAAAGGATTTTGTTTCTGAAATGCATTGAAACACTTATATGTAGCTCCTGGACTCCCCTCCCTTTGTTTGTCCTGCTAGTGATGCTACATTTTTGAGAATGGTTTCCTATCTGCCTTGGGCCAACCCAACATAACGATAATTGAGCTCAGCTGGCTGGCTTAGCAATGTAGCACTGAACACCCTTTTTCCTGCTTAGATTCCAGTGGTGGCTTGTGCCGCTACCCTATGGCCTTCTCATCTTCGTCTATGATGAAATCCGAAAGCTGGGAGTCCGGAGACACCCTGGAAGTAAGTAACTGGGGGAAGAGAATTCACCTGTTGCATCTGCCAATGTAGAAATGGCATGTGGGTCTTCAGACACACTCTCCTGCCCTGTTGTGGCTACTGACCTTTGGGTCAACCTTCTGGTCTTGGTCCTGCATCTGGCAGCCAAAGCAGCACTCAGAACAGCAGGCAGGAATGTGATGTTCCAGCTCCCTGGGCTTTGTGAGGGAAGCCTGCAATGGTCTCTCTCCACGGTCCGAGGCAGCCTGCTTCTGAATTCCTGTTGTAGGACACAGAAGCCATTGGTAGCCTTGTCCTCCATGAATTTGCCCAATCCTCTTTTAAAGCCATCCGGGTTGGTGGCCATCACTGCCTCTTGTGGGAGTGAGTTCCATAGTTTCAACTATGTGCTCCATAAAGTATTTTTCTTTTTATTTGTCCCGAATCTCCCAACACTCAGCTCCATTGGAGGCCCACGAGTTCTAGTGTTAAACTTTTCTTTATCCACCTTCTGCATGGCATGTGTGATTTCAAATACTAATCTACACTTCTTACTCGCCTTTTATCTGAACGAAGCGCAAGACAGCCAGAACCGACACTGACATTGGCTGTAATTTTTAAGGACTTGTTCCTCGGCTTGCTTTCTCTCGCCTCCATCTTGTTACTTTTTCCCTCGTTTGTCTTGTTTTCTTAAATTATGAGCCTGTGGGCAGGGGACTGATTTTTGTATGCGGCTGTGAGAGCCTTTTGGGGCCAAAGGATAGGATACAAATTCTGCAAATTAATCGTAAAAAATTTCCCTTCCTCCAGGTTGGTGGGACAAAGAACTCTACTACTAAAGGCGAAGCTTCTTTTGGATGGAGCTTTTTCCCATTTTCCCTGCTTGTGCAATGGAGACAAGGAAATCAAGGATTTGCTTCGGTCATCAACAACTGCTGAGCCAAGCCTGCCACGTTCCACACCACAGAATCAAAGAATCGTAAGGTTGGAAGGGACCCAAGGGTCATCCAGTCCAATCCTCTGCAATACAAGAATCTCAGCTAAAGAATTCCTGCCAAATGGCCACCCAAACTCTGTTGAAAAGCCTCCAAGGAAGGAGAGCTCACCACCTTCCGAGGTTGTCTGTTCCACTATTGATCAGCTCTTACTGGTAGAAAGTTCTTCCTAATTTTTAGTCAGAATCTCCTTTCTTGTCAATTTGAATACATTGGTTCAGGCCCTACTTTCTAGAGCAGCAGAAAACAATCTTGCTACATATTCCATGTGACAGCCCTTGAGATATTTGAAAGTGGCTGTCGTATCTCCTCTTAGCCTTCTCTTTTCCAGCCTAAACATACACAACTCCCTCAACCACTCATCATAAGGCTTGGTTTCCAGATCCCTGGTCGTCTTGGTTGCCCTCCTCCACACGTTCCAGCTTGGCAATATTCTTGTAAAGATTGTGGTGCCCAGAATTGGACACAGTATTCCAGGTGTGGTCTGACCAAGGCAGAATAGAGTGGTACTATTACTTCCCTTGATCTGGACACGATACTTCTATTGATGCAAACAACACCTTTAAGATAAAACTTAAACTTCAAGCTACCACAGTTCCCACTCAGCTACTTTGGGGGAAGATAGCTAGCCCTTCGTCAATAAATGATTTAAGGGTGCTGATATGCAGAGTGGAGGGAAATTATATATGTATGATTGCAGGTGCTGAGATCACAGCCGAGTAACAAATTGGCACAGGATTTCTAGATCATGAGAGTTTTCATGTGCATTTTTAAAAAATAAATACCAAGTTTCTAACTCTGAAGGCTGTAAGTATGCATGTAAAAGCAGCATGCCAACAAAATCTCTATGTGACAGAGCAGAGGGGAGGAGGGCGAGCAAGGCATGAAAAACAGAATTAAAATAAAATGACAAAAGATAAGCCAATGAATGCAAATTGGCATTTCGTTTATATGGGAGCTGCATTCAAGTTTTTGGTGATTTTGGGTCAGCATTATTTACAGAGGCCAGGAGCCCATAGCCTTCCACATTTTGCTGGACTACAACTCCCATCAACCCCGGCGAGCATGGCAGACAGTCAGTGATGGTGTGTGCTGCAGTCCGTCATCATACGAAGGATTTCTGATACAAGCAAAATTTGCACAGCTGTGTAGCCCACTGAGTGTCAACAGGCTTGTAGCTAGCTATGCTGCTGCTCAACCATGGTGAAGCAGGGTCTACTCCAGCTGACCAGGCACCTCTGCAGATGTTTTTCTCCTTCTTTGTCTTAAGGTACAATTGACTAAAATTGCTATGTTGGCAAAGGCACCCTCTGAAGGATCTTCCCCTGCTCCTTTAAGCAAAGGAGCAGGTGGCAAGGCGGTGGGGGTGGGATAACTTCTTCACTGCTCCTTTGGAGTAAGTCTGCACCCCAGGTTGGGAATCCCTGATATAGGAGTGGGTAGGCAGGAATGGGGCTGAGCCGGGCCAAAAAGGGCTTCTGAAGCACCACCAACCAGCAGATCCTTGGGCACACCAGACTCCCTGCACGCCAGCCAACCAAACGTCAAAGCATAGGACAGGGCTTTCTGCAAGAGCTTGTGCAAAGAGCTCTGAGCAGCGCTTTGAAGCCCCGGCCACCAGCTGATCATTGGCTCTTCAAAGCACCTTCACAATGGCACTGAGTGATCTGACACTTGTAAAACCTGGCCCATAGGAGAGATAAGGACCTGGCCCGTCAGCCAGATCCAGTCCCCACTCCCCACCCCCCGCCATAGCAGATCTCAACCATGAGCTGCACAATTATTTCTTCATATGCCGTTGCTGGAATTTGGTGATGCGCATTGAAAATGTTTGCGACGGCATGCAGAACTGCAGGGTCTGCATGAATCAAAATATGGCAATCGCCCTCAACAGGGAGCAGAGTCACCCACTGCCCTGTGCACCAGCTTATATGGAAAGCTAAAGGGTCCATTTGCTATAGGTATGTACATTTTCAAGAACCTCCAACCAACTCACTAGGGAAAATAACACACTGTAGAGAGAGAGCTTGCTTGTTGTTGTTTAGTCGTTTAGTCGTGTCCGACTCTTTGTGACCCCATGGACCAGAGCATGCCAGGCACTCCTGTCTTCCACTGCCTCCCGCAGTTTGGTCAAACTCATGCTGGTAGCTTCGAGAACACTGTCCAACCATCTCGTCCTCTGTCGTCCCCTTCTCCTTGTGCCCTCCATCTTTCCCAACATCAGGGTCTTTTCCAGGGAGTCTTCTCTTCTCATGAGGTGGCCAAAGTATTGGAGCCTCAGCTTCACGATCTGTCCTTCCAGTGAGCACTCAGGGCTGATTTCCTTAAGAATGGATTGGTTTGATCTTCTTGCAGTCCATGGGACTCTCAAGAGTTTCCTCCAGCACCATAATTCGAAAGCATCAGTTCTTCGGCGATCAGCCTTCTTTATGGTCCAGCTCTCACTTCCATACATCACTAAGAGCTTGCTTAACTCCCTTCAACCTGATGGAAAGAACCCCACTTCCCCAGGAAGCTTTTGGGGGCACACACCCATGTAATTGTCACTTACTGCTGTTAGACTCTTCCTATTATTCCACCCTAAATTTAGAGATGTGCAGGAAGCAATTATTACTTTTCACACAAAGCAAACCTATTTTGGGGTGGTGGGGCCCTCGAATTGACAAGGGGAAGGCAGATGGGAAGACACACTAGCAGGCATTTGGTTCCTGGGTCTAACGCAGATGCTTTTCAGCAGCTACAATGCATTTACACCTACCCTGCCTTACTCTGTGACAACTCAAGTCACCTCCTTGCAAAGCCACCACTGACTTGACACTGATCACGCCTACTTCAAGGAGAAAACAAAGACCCACGTTTGACGCCATTCCCATGCAGTGTAACAGGCCTGTTCAGACAACAGTCACAGAATCATAAAATTGTAGCACCGGAACGGACCCCCAGGGGACATTTAGTCCAACCCCCCTGCAACGCAGGAATTGCAGCTAAGGAATCCCTGGCAAACAGCCACCCAACCTCCATTTAAAAACCTCCAATGAAGTCATAAAGAACTTAACCATTGCAAACCACAGAAATACCAAAACCTGTTTATTATTACTATTATTCCCCTCGCCTCCAAGCAGAGGCCGTGCTGAGGCCGATCTCACCGCGGGCAGGATCAAACCGTGTCTCGACTTGGTGACAGCGACTTGGCTGGACAATCCCGCCAGGATGCAAAGGCAATGTCTCCTCCCCGAGTGGGAAGGAATGAATCCTCAGTTGCTGTGTACCAGAGTGACAAAGAGAGTCAGGGAGCTGAGGGAAAGGAGACCAGTGATGACAGCCTTGACCAGGAGGGCTGTCCAGCTGCCCAGGAGAAAAACATGGACAAAAGACCTGGGAAGGAAAAGAAAAGGGAGAGGGTTGGTAAGGAGCAGAGGAACATCGGGAGCTGCCTTCCACTAAATCAGAAGCACTGGTTCATCTAGAGCAGTGCTGTCCACTCTGACTGGCAACAGCTCCCAGGGTTTGAGACAGAAGCATTCCTCAGCCCTGCCTGGAGACACCAGGGATTGAACCTGCGAACTTCTGCATGCAAGGCAGATGATCTACCACTGAACTACAGTCCTTCCGTGGCTGTAAGGATTTAGTGAGGCAGGAGAGCAGGAGGTCTCACTTCCGTGCTTAAAACTTCCATGCTTAAAAGAAAACATCCTGCAATGTTTAATGCTTATATATTTGGGGAAGGGTCATAGCTCAGCAGCAGAGCACATGCTCCACATGCAGAACGTCCCCAGATTTAATCGCTAGGCTCTCAAGGTAGGAATGGGAAAGTAAAGGTAAAGGTAAAGGGACCCCTGACCATTAGGTCCAGTCGTGACCGACTCTGGGGTTGTGGCGCTCATCTCGCTTTATTGGCCGAGGGAGCCGGCATACAGCTTCCGGGTCATGTAGCCAGCATGACTAAGCCGCTTCTGGCGAACCAGAGCAGCGCACAGAAACGCCGTTTACCTTCCCGCCAGAGCAGTACCTATTTATCTACTTGCACTTTGATGTGCTTTCAAACTGCTAGGTTGGCAGGAGCAGGGACTGAGCAACAGGAGCTCACCTCATCATGGGGATTTGAACCGCTGACCTTCTGATCAGCAAGTCCTAGGCTCTGTGGTTTAACCCACAGCACCACCCGCATGACTCTCAGCTAAAACTCTGGAGAGCCTCTTCTAGTCAGCGTAGACCCCTCTTTCGCCAGCCCTGTGCATCCCTGACCACTGGGATGATATTGACCAAGGCTAACAGCGAGCCAGTGTGGCGCAGTGGTTAGAGTGTTGGACTAGGACCTGGGAGGCCCGGGTTCAAATCCCCGCTTGGCCATGAAAGCTCACTGAGTGAGCTTGGGCCAGTCCCTCAACTCTCAGCCCGACCTCCCTCGCAGAGTTGTTGTGAGGATAAAATGGGGACAAAAAGAACCACCACGTTGAGCAACTCGGAGGAAAGATGGGATGTGCATGCAATGAATAAAATAACAGGAGTCGCAGTCGAACATTATCTGGGAGGCTGGTGTAGACAATACGGAACAAGGTATTGAAGGAATCAAAGAAGCTGCCTTATATTCAATCAGCTAATGGAAGCCACGGCCCAAAACGCACAAGCCCCAACTCCAAGCTACAAGCACCCAGTGACTCACTCCATGAAGAAAGCCTTGTAGACACTGACTCCCAGCAGGAAAGTGAGGGGCAGTCGGTAGTGTTTGGGTAAATCGTAGCGTGTAAACATCCATACCAGGGCGGCCGTGGCAATATAGTGGACCTGGGAGAAGAAAAATGGGGGGGGGCGCAAAGGGAGCAAACAGAGAGAGGAATGATTCCAAATCCTTTCTCTGGCACATCCCGCGAGGCAGCGGAGGTTAAGGACCAGATTTTTTCTTCTCCTAGACAGGCTACATCATACACCCTGTACACCATTGTTATCCATAGTTGTAACTTGTAACTAGCCTTTATTGGCATAAGTTAAAACAGTAC